AAAGAACTAACAAATCTGTCCTGGAAGAAGTGAAGCTGGAATGCTCCTTGGAAGAGAGAATGGCCACACTTCATCTCACCTACTTTGGTCATGTTGTCAGAAGGGACTATTCCCTGGAGAAGGATATCATGCTTGGTAAAGTAGAGGGTTAACAATAAAGGGAAAAGCCCTCAAGAAGATGAATTAACACAGTGGCTGCAACAATGGACTCAGGTATAGCAAGGATCATGAGGCTGTCACAGGACTGGGTGGTGTTGCATTTTGTTGTACATAATGTCGCTATATAAGAGTCAGAGACATAAGAGTCAGAGACAACTTGACGGCACCTAACAACAACAACAACAAACTTATATATGATCATGTGTATATTCCCTTTTGCCTAGATATACCTTATCATTCATCCAGTCTATCCATCTATTTACCAATAGATTAATGTTTGTTATGATTGGTATTGTATATGCAAAAGGGTTTATCTTTGTTGTCTGTACCTTGTGTGCACATACGTATTCCTTTTCCTTACTGTTATTGTGTTGGTCAATCACTCTTGGAATATCACCATTCCCTTCACCCAGATCAACACTTGTCTCCACCTGTCTACCAGTGTTTCCTCCCCTCCCCTCTCATCATTGGTAATTAACAAAGAAAATTTCCTTCCATACATAAACCTTTCATTTACTTTTTAAAATAGTAAACAAATACAATATTTGTCCTTCTATGATTGACTTATTTCACTCAGCATAATGTCCTCCAAATATATCCACATTATGTGGTGTTTCATAGATTCTACATTATTCTTTAGTGTTGCATAGCATTCCATTGTGTGTATGAACCATAGTTTGGTTATCCATTCTTCTCTTGATGGGTATTAAGGTTGTTTCCATCTCTTTGCTATTGTAAATAGTGCTGTGATGAACATGGGTGTGCATATATCTGCTCGTATCCTGGATCTCACTTCTTTAGGATATATACTTAGTAATGAGATTGCTGGATCAAATGGTATTTCTAATTCCAACTTTTTAAAGAATCACCATACTGATTTCCACAGCGGTTGTATTTTAGTCCCACCAGTAGTATATGAAAGTCCCAATCTCCCCACATCCTCACCAGCATTTGTTATTTTCCATCTTGTTGAACTTTGCCATTAGAGCTGGGGTGAGATGGTATCTCATTGTTTTGATTTGCATCTCTCTAAGGGCTAATGATCAGGAACATTTCTTCATGTGTTTGTTGGCTGGCTGAATATCTTCTTTGGTGAAGTGTCTGTTCATGTCTTCTGCCCATCTGTCAATTGGATTACAGGTATTGGAGTTTTCTATAAATTTTAGAGGCAAGTCCCCTGTCAGATAAGAACTGCCAAATATTTTTCCCAATCTGTAGGTTCTCATTTTACTCTTTTGGAGTAGTCTTATGATGCACATAAAAACTTAACTTTTAGAAGGTCCCAATCATCTAATTTATCTTCTGCTGTTTGTGCATTTTGGATTATGCTTGATAGCCTATTTATGCCATAAATTTGGGTCCCTAAGATTACCCCTATTTTTTCCTTGATGATCTTTATAGTCTTAGATTTCACATTTAAGTCTTTGATCCATCTGTAGTTAGTTTTTGTGTGTGATATGAGATATGGATCTTGCTTCATTTTTCTGAAAATGGATAACCCGTTTTGACAGCACCATTTGTTAAAGGGATATCTCTTCCCCATTTAATGGATTTCATCCTTTTGTCAAAGACCAGCTGACCATAGGTTGATGGATTCATTTCTGGGTTCTTCATTCTGTTCCACTGGTCTATGTGTCTGTCATTGTATCAGTACCAGGCTGTTTTGATTACTGTGGCTGTATAGTAGGTTTTGAGATCTGGGAGTGTGAAACCTCCTACTTTGTTGTTTTTCAATAGTGCTTTGCATATCTGAGGGCTCTTTCTTTTCCATATAAAATTAGTGAT